CCATCTAGTCTAGCATCACTAAGTCTTGTTCATACATTGGTGTAATGTTCCGGATGATCTTCCCTCTATGTACATATGTTTTTCATTAGTATAACATCTCCTTGTCCTGTTCCTACTTGGTGCAGTGTTCCAGCTGATCTCTTCTCTATGTGCATATGTTTTTCATTAGTCTAACATGTGCTTGGCATGTTCATACATTGGTGTAATGTTCTGGATGATCTTCCTTCTATGTACATATGTTTTTTCATTAGTCTTGCACCTCCTTGTCATGTTCCTACTTGGTGTAGTGTTCCGGCTGATTTTCCCTCTATGTACATATGCTTTTCATCTAGTCTAGCATCACTTGGTCTTGTTCATACATTGGTGTAATGTTCCGGATGATCTTCCCCTCATGTGAATGTGTTTTTCATTAGTCTAGCATCTCTTTGTCATGTTCCTACTTGATGTGATGTACCGGATGATCCTCCCTCATTGTGCATGTGCTTTCTACTAGTTTAGTCCCCCATTGTCAAGTTCATGTTCCGGATCTTTTACATAGTTGAGCTCTTCTCTTTGTGCATGTACTTTCCACTAGTCTAGTCTTTCGTTGTTAAGTTCATGTTCCAGACCTTTACTTAGTTGACCCTTCTCTTTGTGCATGTACTTTTCACTAGCCTAATCCTTCATTGTCAAGTTCATGTTCCAGATCTTTTGCTTAGTTGAACTTTTCTCCTTTGTGCATGTGCTTCCACTAGTTTAGTCTCTAATTGTCAAGTTCATGTTCCGGATTTTTACCTTGGTGATCTCTACTCATTGTGCATGTGCTTTCCACTAACCTAGTTTCTCTTTGTGAAGTTCATGTTTCAGATCTTTACCTTGTTGATCTCTACTCGTTGTTCATGTGCTTTCCAGTAGTCTGAACTCTCATTGTCAAGTTCATGTTCCGGATCCTTACCTTGTTGATCTCTACTCATTGTGTGTGGGTTTTCCGCTAGTCTAGTCTCTCATTGTCAAGTTCATGTTCCGGATCTTTACCTTGTTGATCTCTATTCATTGTGCACGAGCTTTCCACTAGTCTAGTCTTTTATTGTCAAGTTTATGTTCCGGATCTTTTACTAAGTTGAACTCTTCTCATTTTTGCATGTGCTTCCACTGGTCTAATCCTTCCTGGTCAAGTTCATGTTCCGGATCTTTGCTTAGTTAGTCTCTTCTCCTTGTGCATGTACTTTCCACTAGTCTAGTCTCTCATTGTCAAGTTTATTTTTGATGTGGTGTTCCGGATCCTTACTTTGATTCTTCACTTTTCTTTGTGTATGTGCTTCCACTAGTCAAGCCTCTCCTTGTCAAAAGTTCATGTTTGATGTGATGTTCCGGATCTTGCTTAGATGATCCCCCTCCCTATGAATATGTGTTTTCCATTTGTCTAGCCTCTCATTGTCATGTTATTCCAAAATATACTTATTCAATCTCTCACTATGGGACGGATGATCGACGTTTGGTTGCTGTTACGGAGAACTGATTTGATTAGGAGTTTTTCTTGTCTTCTCTCACTCTCTCTCTCACTCCCTCTCTCTCTTCCTTCCTCTCTCTCTCCTCATCTCCCCCTCCCTCTCTCCTTTTCCCTCTCTCCTTTTCCCTCTCCCCCCTTTCCCTCCTTTCTCCTGTAGACCCCTCTTTCGCCCCCCCTTTTATTACCTTGCCTTCTCTCTCTCTCTCTCTCTCTCTCTCTCTCTCTCTCTCTCTCTTTCTCTCTCTCTCTCTCTCTCTCTCTCTCTCGTTCCCCCCTCACTTGGAAACATTGTCAGGGTACAGACGGTGACCGAAATCAGACCTCACTTGGTGGAGAAAGAGGACAAGGGGAGGATAGTCGGTCCCTTGTGCCACCAAGAAGTCAAAAGAAAGGACGTTTGAAAAAATGGGGGAAAGGCGGGATCCGGAGGGAAGCATAAGTGGAAAGAGAGGTCAGTTTGACTCAACCATTTCCCCGACTGCATAATTATGAAAAGAGAATGGGCTGATTGAGCAACAAGATGGAACAAAGGGCAGCCAAAGAACTTGAAAAGATAGGCATGCGGGAAGGGCTATGTGTTGACCCCCAACGAGGGATTGTATGGATCTTCTTGCTTGTGTGGGATTGTGCAAGTGAGTGATGGCTATAAATGCCTTGAGCGGGATAGGGGCGAGAGGAACTGGGCACCAAGAGGGAAAGGGAAGAGGGACAAAGGGGCTATGGGACCCTTGACATGGAGCCAACTCAAAAAAATGACTTTTGCGCTTGAGACTTGGAAGTGTGATTGAGAGTGCAGTCGTACCAAGGAAAATGTGATGTTGTGTGTGCATGCATAAGAGGACCCTGAAAAGACTAAGGGGCCTACTTCAATAAAGTGGGAAGCAAATTATGAGACCCGATGGAAGCGTAGAGGCCGAGCCGAATGGGACCCGCAGTGGGGTCGATTAAGGCTCGAAAGTCTACCGGGGTTTGGCCCTACACCGGCCAAGCAAGGTGGCCAATGACGCAGAGACTACTCCGTAGAAGAAGCCGGAGCCAGCCAAGGAACCCTAGTACGGAGAAGTGGCCATTCTCCCCCGCCCCTCTAGGAAGTGACACGTGGGCACAATGGCGATGGGTGGAGAAGGTAACTCTAGAGTCCCCCTTTCTCCCCTCTCAACTTCTTCTTTTATCTCCTTGCCCGACAAATTCTGTTATTTTTGCGAAGCAATATCTCGAGTCTATTCGGTTCCTACGCATCCTAGTGGGGAAGGGTGTGTCGAATGGATAAATTATCAACAGTCTGTCTCCCGGGTATCCAATATTAGAGTTCAGATAAACCTTGGTTATGTCCCTTGTTTCGCACCGACAAAATCCCGACGGAGGCTCGATTCCTCGAAGCCATGTCTGAAGGATTAGAAAAGACACGCCGATTTCGGCATACCGAAGTATGGACGGATGTCATCTTGATAGCTACGGTGGTCGGTAACTCCCTCCGAGAATTCACCAAGGAAGATCGAAGGCGGGTTAACGAGAGAGCGCAGGATTACCGATGGAACGACGTACGCTTAGAAAAACGAAAGACTGATGCTAGCGGGATCTGGATGTCAGTACCTCATCCATTCATGAGGTACGACTGGGTTAAGTCGGCCCACAAGGAAACCGCTGCTCACTTTGCTGTCAGGATCACGGAGGCCACAATTAAGAAAAATGAGTGGTACTGGTCCAATATCCGAGACGATGTTAAATTCATTGCCAAAAATTCTCTAGTCTGCGCGGTGGATAAGGCGTCGATTTAGCCGCCTAGGTCGATAGTGTCCACTGTAGTCGAACGGTTATTCCAAAGGGTTAGCATGGACACCACGGATATTATTGTGCCCTCTGGACCGAATAGCTGCGAGTATTCAATTCTTTTGGCATTCGTGGTTCATTTTTCAAAAAAAATGATCGAGGCCTACCCGTGTAAAACGCGACAGACCGCAAACATCGTGCAGTATGTCAACCATTTCCTTGGAATGCATCAGGATATCGAGGAAATTTTAACGGACAACGGGGCGGAATTCCTAGGAGAAGTCTTGAGAAGCCTAGTCATGATGGCGTTTTCATCCGTAACGCAATCAAATGGACTGGTAAAAAATGCAAATAGGGTAATCAAGACGGCCTTGCGGTGAAATATCGCGGCCAGAGACACGAGGCCTTGGCCCGATATCATAGACCACATCCTGGCTATCTACCGGGGGACCCCTCATGAGTCCACCGGCCTGACCCCTTTTCAGCTGTGGACTAATAGTCTGGCGTGTGTGGCTCTACCGAGACTGAACGATGAAACGAACTTAGCACGGAGAACCACAAGGGTCACGGTTAAGGACAAGGGGCAATGCCACTTAGACCTGATGGAAAAAACCCTCTTTCGGTTAGCCCGAAAAAGACAACGAATGACTAAAATGGCCCATGGACGACAGGTACGGAGCTATGAGGCCCGAAATGGGAATGTTGGGCCTTGGCTCCAGTATAAATTAGGGGACATAGTGCAGGTAAGGAAATTTGCTCGCTAAGGCAAGTTAGCGCCACGATTCTTCTGGCAATTTCACGTAGTTGAGCTCGGTCCTAGTGGAGTGAACACGGTGCGGCTTGTGCCAAAGGTCTGGGAAACCGATCGGCTCGGCCGATCATCCGACACGTTTCCTATCTTCGTCCCTTGCCTCCTTCTCCTTCTCCCCCATCGTCCACGTCATCCTTCGATTCTGCGGAGGAAGACGAAGATCTCGAGCTTGATTACTTTGATTCTCCTTCCTCTCAACCTCCATCTCTAACTCTTCCCCCATCGCCACGAGTTTTTTACTGAGCAGGTCATTAGCGAACGTCTAATGAGACCCGGGGGGCATATTTCGTCGATCCAGCAGGTGCAACGGCCACGATTGAGTCCAGATCTACTTCGATTCGCGACTTTCTTCAACACGGTGGCCATCCACGCGACGACGAAATTTCGGTTCGCACGAACTAGTGAGCGGGCAAGAGTGTTGGCCGAGGCGTTGGCTTTCCTGCGGCTGTCTCCACCTGGTTTCAGCCACGTGACAGTGATCGTCACCTTCACCGGCGATCTTACGGCTTTGCATCCGACAACTCATACAGGTGTTTTCCGGTAGTTGCGACTCCGGGCGAGGGATCTCACGGTCGCCTGGGTCCAGCTTCTTAGCGCTACCTGGCGATTGGATCAACTCCACGAATGACATCGATCTCAGCCAACTTCGGATATCTCCTGACACCCCGGAGATCATCCTCCCTCAGGTTCTTCCTTTCATGCTGCCTCAATGAACCAGCATCGCCTTTCGACCTTCGAGCTTCCTTCCGATCTCCCGACCTTCTAGCAATCCACCACGGACCCTCCCCTTTCCTTTCGAATCAGGCGACTGGACGTACCCATCCTGGACACGAGCAAGTGGGCGGAGTGGCAACACTCGTACGTCGCACTCAACTTTTGCCTTCTCGAGCTGGTATTTCATTGGGGTGAGCCGACAAATAAAGGCGAGGATTCCGAGGAAGACGAAGTTCCCAATGATGAGGTGGAGTTGTTGATCGTCCAAGCTTGGAGGGTGGACATGGAGGGAAAACTGCTGGATATAGTCTTCGGGAAAGTGCGGGACGAACACCTCGAGTTGATTAGAAGTGAAGTTCTGGTGTTCTTGGCCCAGCTCTTAGACGATCTGCCTATGGAGATCCTTTCACGTTGTGACGAGCGATCCGCACCAGCAACGTTCCCTCGTACGCTGACACCTCATCTATTGTGGCCCACGTGCATGGAACTCGACGACGACAACATCTATCTCCCCTTGTCGGGCGACTATTTGGTCATCGATGTGACCGATATCACTCCGTGGGATCCGATCATCCGAAGAGTGGAGGTGGGGGCAAGAGAAGAGGTCGACGAAGAAGAGGAGGAGAAGAGGGAAAACACAAACGAAGAAGAAGACTCGGAGGCCGGATCGGATGACCCAGATTATCACGAATCTGAGGAGACCAGGTCGGAAGAGAGTGGGTCGGACGAATCAGGCAGTTCCGACTCACGGAGTGAGAAGGAAGACAAAGCAGCAGCCCAGAGGCGACGAGAGAGGGCAGAAGAGAAGCGTCCAGTGCAGGATTCGGACGCACGACTGTTGGAAGACGATCCGGCGCGCAACCCAGAGCCACCACAAGAGGAGTCCGGAGGATATGGCGTCGCCACTGCGGAGGGATCTGGAAGCAGACGCCACAGAAGAAGTCCAACACCAGCTCAATCCCCTCCACCCTAGAGGCCCACCGTTCGCCTACGTGGAGATGTGGGCACTCAGGCTTCGTCCCCGGTCATTATCCCACCGTCCCCTTGATTTCCTCGCCTTCCGTCAGATTGCGGGTTAACCCCCATTTCCCTCCAACAGGCATTCTTTCCCCCCTTCCCTTTTCCGCAAGCTCTATTCTACCCGTCTCGGTGTCACCGTCTTCCCGCACGCCCCCATTCGCTCCATCGTAACCACTTTCCCCCTACACATCCTCCTATTCAATGCGGCATGGCGAGATTACAATAGTATAGAAATATATTGTATAATCTCCGGCGTAATCCCCACGCGTGAAGGTTACGAGGATCTTCGTACCGCAATCCCCCGCACCCTCTGCACCCTCTATCCCGATTACCTCGCCTCTCTTCCTCACCAGGATCATCGCTTCCTCCTCATACATTGCACCGTTGATTACACTCAGCTCCCCAATGGGGATCGAGAGTGAAACCACTTTTTGCCACCCCTTGCGCAAGCTCACACCCCACCGCCTCCTCCCGTCATCAGTCTACCTTTCCCTGGCAACCTTCAGATCAGAGTCCCGAATACCACCTAGATGACTTCCACACTCTCATCTTACGGTAAGTGGAACGTGTCAACTCCACGTCGATCGCCAGAGATCGACAAATGATTGAAGGAGGGCAAGCAGGAGTTTGCTCAAGATTGGAATCCCCTTGGCGTCACATATATGACGAACTACTTTCTGCAACCGTGCGATCTTATGTGCGAGGCTATATCAGGGTTGAAACGGGTTGAGTTGGGATGGCCTAGTGAATTACGTGGATGCGCTTGCTTTACAAGTCTTTGTGCTTTCGCATCCTCGCATCCTTGGGAAAGAAAACAGGGTTGGTCTAGTCCTGTGACGGTCGGTAGTTGAGTGCGCCTTAGCGAGTGTGATGAATAACTAGTGCCGTAGCTTCTTTCTTGTTCTGCTGTGGGAATGGGGAATTTTTGGCGCGATTATCGGCGGGAAAATCTTTTTGAATTTTCAACTGATGTCGAGCCCCCGCGGGCTCTCGAAAATTGCCTCGTTTGAATGATTTTTTTGGAACTAGGAATTAGAATTAGGAATTTAGGCGCGCCTCAATTTCTGTTGCACTGCACTTCTTGCTTGCACATACCATGTCGCGTCAAGATTTGTGCTCTGATTCTCCGCGCCTTAATCCTGCGTATAATTGTAAATTTTATTTTGGCGGGCATTATTGCAATTGTCATTCCCTCGCTCTTGGTACCTTTTGTAGCGCCTTCGTGCGCACAAACTTCTTCCTCTGTCTTATTGGCCTGAACGCATACGTGACCGGATTGAGACTCCATCCCCCATGCCGTGGCCTGGCCATGCAGTCGTAGGCACTCCCTTCCTCCTTCTTCCCCATACTCAGGCACAATCTCGGGTATCGTGCACACAAGCATGCATGCTATAAATTTCGCAAGCGCGATTAACTCTCTCTCTAAGCATTTTGGACGCTAGCACGATCGAGAGGATCTGCTAACGAGCGAAAGCTGGCAGGTGAGTAGAGAGTTGGGCGATCCAACGAGCTGATGCTAAGCGTGCGGGGTCGACGTGGGGCCGCGACGGACTGTTGCACACGGGCAAACCTGACTTGCATGCTTAGATCAAGCGGGGTGGCAACTTTGCGTGGGTGTGAGGCGACGAACTGCCGCATCGGGATGATGAGAAAAGAGAGAGAGAGAGAGAGAGAGAGAGAGAGAGAGAGAGAGAGAGACGGGAAGTGTGGGATGAGCTTTCTCTTCTATCCCTCTAAGACATTTTGATTCTTCTGCTTTCCTCCTGAGCAATTTTGGTATTCGGCGCGAGTCGCCCCTCTTTTTTTTTCTGAATCCATATTCGGATTTGGCATTCGCTTTTTTTTTGTTGATTTGTATGTTTTCAATTGCTCTCCCCTGGTGTTGATGAACGGTTGTCCTCTTTCCCTCCCCTTCTCTGTCCTCTTGGATTGATGGATCTTATTGATTGATCCCCGACGATTGGACCTTGCATGATTTCGGACCAATGGGCCAAGGAAGTGTTGCATGAACCTCGGGTCAAAACCAGATGTATAGATGATAGGCGTGGTTTTGTCTATGTATGAATAAGATAGGCACGATGGACGATTAGATGGCCGTCTAACTATAGGATGATGTTGTGGTGTTAGCATCTGCTTTCTTCGAACGACATTTCATATTTTTTCTTTGTATGTCTCTACTGATTGATGCATGAATGATTGTCACCTTCTTTTTGTTCATGTATGCATGAAACTGGATACGTGGACGATGAGTAATTGTCTGTCGAAATTAAACGAGCATGCTAGATGATCAGATGTCTGTCTCGCAATAGGACTATCCACCCTCCGTTAACGGGCCAACTCGTACGAGGCGCGGGCCATTGGTCTTTTTCCATCGGACCAAAGGGCAGGCCCTGTGCACGCACGTGTAAGCCCGATCAGAAGAACGTGGCCTACATGCATGTCTATAGTGCCTCCACTCGGTCCAACTTTTCCAATGACTGAGTTTCCGTCTCACCCCACAACATGAATATTGAACTCCCTTTTCGTATTACTGACCGCGAGTGTCTGAGGGATCCGGAATTTCATAAGTATTGGAAGCACACGTGTCTGTCTGCACGACTGAGGGGAGAACTTCCTGAATTTTCATACCCGGTGGGAAATGAACGTTTCTGCGAGTGGGACATCGACCGAGCTCGAGACCGCATACCCCACCACCCAGAATTCCCCGGCTCCTACACGTGTCACCTTGTCGCGGAACCGGGAGTAATTAATCTGGAAACCGACTTCCCTCCCTACCACCGCATACCGCCCTTCCATTCGCTGACCATCATCCCCTGGTGCGCAATCGCTCCGTATTGGCCCCAACCCCCGTGCTCGGAGTGCTTGCAAGACCACGAGTAGCCTCCCGTTTCATCCGCCAAACTCGCTCGAAGGAAGAACAACGGGTGCACAGCCTTCGACTAAGGCCAGCCGCGTCGGATTCTGAGACCAGTGACGCACGACGCTGACAAGTGGTCGGGCAGTGCGATAGCCATAGCGTCCCGACCGTGCACCAAATACGAGCCCAACCCAGACGACGGAACCAACAGAGGTGGTAGCCCCACGCTCCGGAGCATAGAAACAGACTTCGACCCGAGCCTATCCTCTTACATTCCTATTCCTGAAACTTGCCACAGGAGATTTCAGTTCCGACCTGGGACTCCATCCCCACTTTCCTAAAATCTTTGGCACACCCCCTTTTTGCACTTCCAAGCCCACTCACACTCCGATCAGGAAGTCGCATCGGGCGTGAGGTTGGCGTCACAATGGGGCAGGTTGGCACCACAATTGTGGTGCGAGAGCAAGGTCGTACCAGTCCCTCATCACGTTGTCGCGCGTGGCGGTCTCGCACCCTATTGGGAGCGCAGAATCTCACGGTCGTGTCACGCACGATATATTCTTGAGAAAGAACCAGTCAGCACTCCAACCGTGCGCGCGTGCTATGCCTCTCACGACACCCCACGACAGGTCGGGGAGCCGCAAGGTACAACTTACCTCTACCCAAGGGGCTGTCATAGGTGTATCCCTGCTGAGCTACTGACCCACATGCAAAGGCTTTTACATGCCTTTGTAGAGGTAGGTCGGCCGAGGGCGTTTGCTCGATCGCTATAGCATAAAATGGGATACGCGCGATAAGACGCCTAGAACTGACCCGTTAGATATTGAGGTCGAACTTTTAAAAAACAGTCTATTTTCGCTACTGCGTAATATAACACTCTTCGACCGATATCAATCAAACCTTCTGTCTACCAAAGGACGTCATATCTCTCTTAACAAGTTATGGCTCAGCTAACATCAGAATATTATAGAGGTTAAGTCGGACATATGATGAATACGAAAGTATTACCACCGAGAACCCTTCCCACTTTCACAAGTGTTGTGTGTCCGAGACTCTTCAACAGACAATGTCCAGTTCAATCCAAAGTCACGCACAAAAACAGATCTGCACAGAATAATGCAAAGACAGTTCACATGCCATGCACTAACGGGGTCAACCATCAACTATTGACCTTGTCTCTCACTTCCCAAACCATGCATGACAACCTTGTCTTTCCTGAGACGTAAGCCCAACCCCCTCACATTTCTACAAAGGACCCTTGAGAGTGACTAGGACCATTTACGTAATGACCACAGGCGACAGTTTAACTGACCTCAGGGTTTTACTTTAGAAGCGGGTATCAAGTCAAAGAGGAAAGTTGAATCGGTAACAACCGACTTGTTATCGAGAGATAACATAAATTTGAGTCCTTTACGTAGGACTTCTTCCTTGAAATGCAGTAGATCAAAACAGAGACATGCACACACACAGGTCAACAAAGATTCAACACCCCCACTTGATTCCCACATATTGATATTTAAGGATCGAGCCCCTACACATAGGTAGTGAGCTCTGGGATCGACCTCCCAGGTCTAATCCCTAGTCTTACTCTCACAACCCTACCCTAAGCCGTCTTTCACTCTCTCCTTTTACTTAAGGAGTCTCATGCCTGCATCCTAAGTCATTTTTAGGAAAACTCATGTTTACCCTACTCTCAGTCCCTGCATTTTCTCTCTTGGAAATAAGCGCACCGTTTGGCGCTTATGTAGACGCTGTATAGTTCATTCATCATCGTGGCCTTCCATCCGAAAGCCATGGATAACTATGGACTACACGGTGGTTCTTTTTTCTACTAGCATCCTTTTTTCCGCGGTCCTATCTTCTTTCTTTGTTGCTTTTCTAGGTTCTGGAGTCTTTGCCTCAACACAAGTATTGTTCCTTCCTTTCTCTCCAATTTGTCCTGACATACTCAAGTAGTAGATCAATTCAGACATGAATCTTCTGCTACTTTGCCAATACCAAGCAACCTGTTACTCGAACAGATAGTCGAGTAAGTCACACACGAGTACTTGATCCCTTTTTTAGTTTCACTCAATGTATACATAAGATCTGCTCAGAGTAACAGGATAGCTCACACATGAGCATCCTTCCTACAACAAATAATTAAGGCTCCTACAGAAGCACC